AAGTGTAGCCGATGTCTTCCTCTTCAGTTAAGGTTTGGGCGACCGTGTGTGGAGCTCTGTTACCCACCTTGAGCTCGCTATTACTAGCGTTCCTGACAGCTGCAGCTGATTGCGGAACTATTTTACCCGCTTGTGGACCTAAATACCCACTTGGCCAGCGCCCGTTAGCGCCGCCACTATCGAAGCGTCTTCGGAGTCGTCATATACGTCAACGACTTTCAAGCATCTGTTGAATGCTTGGGTACCCTTGCAACCCTTGCGGGTGCCCCGGGTCCCGACAGAGATGGGAACATGACTCACCAACGCTCTGTCGGACTTCGCAGGGCGGCTGGCACCGATTGTCTTGCCTCGCCAGTCGATCCAGGGCTCGGGCTTCTCGAACAAGAGCATGCCCAGGATCATGTCCAAGGGATCCATGTCGAGAACAGTAAACTGTTCTGGGCTGTCGAAGTCTTCAAACTTGACGGTCAGATCCACTTGGACGTTGGGGACAGTGACAACCTTCCCGTTGGCCAGTCGCACTCACACCGTCCTGTTGCCTTTGGTTTCTCTCAAAGCATCGGACAATTTATTGCTATTACAAGCAGTCATCTGGCGGCGTGCGAAATTCTTCGACGCCCCAGAATCGATCAAGATTCTAAAGGGGTGATCGTATCCTCGTACACATCCGTGTACTACTAGCAGCCCGCCGCTGCTCTTCGCCGATTCGAGAGTGCGAAGACTCTCAGGGACTAAGTACCCGTGGTACGCGCTACCCGCGCACCGCTCACGAAGACTTATTTCTTCCCCAGTTGGGCACCCCACCCCTACTGGTCTCCAGCGTTCCCCTGTCCCTGGGATCCAGGCTTCTGCCAGCGACCCTTGAGGTCGGGCTTGGGGAAAGGCCGTCTGCGGAGTCTTTCCGCGTGACAGTCGCGCTTGAAGTGGCCCATCTTCCCGCAGCCGAAGCAGCGGATGTCACGCTGTTCAGCGGAACCGAGTTTCATGGAACCTGGTCCGTTGGGGCTTGTTCGACCGGGAGTCGACATGAAACTCCCAGGCCACGCTGAGGCCGGCGTACGCGTCTGGCGATGGCTGTACTCTTTCTGAAGAGCCCCTTGAATCGCCTCTTCAAGTGTGTTTGACTGCACCCGGAACAGCTGAGTGCGTGCGGGGCCCACTCGAAGGCCGTCCATGAACACTGTCACATTGATATGTTCGTTAAGTGGATTGCCCACTAGGGACGCTGGCTGCATCTCTCGGATATACTAATGCAGCTCACGCTCTCCTTGTTTGGATGCGAGGAAACGCGAGCGCTAACGGTACTCGAAGTTCTCGGGGGTGGGGACTTGAAGCTGTTCGCACAGCTGAGCCCTGGATGTGAAACATCCAGGCGATGTAGCTTCTGGTGTGGCGGACTTGCTTCCGCCACCGGTGCCTGCAGGTTTATTCGCAGATGTGCGAGGCGCCCTCGCTCGTAGGCGTCAAACGCATTGATACGCTCGAGCTTCTCGGCCGGTGCTGACACCACCAGGCTTTGCAGGCCCTTCATCCCGATGATGCCAGTTATCTTCCAAACCGACTCGAACTGTGAGTCGTTCAGGTGAGGAGAGTCGTTCATGTTTATGGCAACGAACATCAGAAGCTCAGATAGTCTACCCTCGTTGGCGTGGGCTGACTACTAGTGCTATTAAGCGGGATGTGGACCCACAGCACCTTGCGCTTGAAGAAGTAGGCTTCCGAGAGTAGCAGGTCACAGGTCCCTTCGTCGAAGGGAGCAAAATAATCAGCTAGCGGTAAGCTGAATGTATTTATAGGCAGGCTAAGCTTTAGCTAAATTTACAACCTATAAGTCTCCTTTAGTGAAACTATGTCATTAGTCAATAATTGACCTTGGTACCATGTACCAGGTATCCCGACGTGCGGCGTGTCACACTTCATGTAACCAGGGGTACACTTAAGTACGTACCCCGCTACACTGGACGTGCCCGATAGGTACTCGCCTCACAGGAACGGAGAAAGAGGGGTGCTCCTAAGGAGGGCCATTTCGGGGAGCGCCATTCGTAAAAAGGCACGTAAAGCAGACGTCAATGTTCGCTAGAGCCAGCAGGCTCGCATTATACTAAAATCAACTTTAAAAAGCGTGTCCGTCCCAAAGAGCTGTGTCCGTTACATAAGCGAACTTAACAACAGGCTCTCGTTCCATACTGAACCTAGTGAGAATCCGAGCGTGTCCGTTCCTTGGGAGCGTGTCCCTTTAGTACATGTCTATTCGCGTATTCGGTACTCATCACCAAAATGGCCCCTAAGTCGACACATTGCTTGCCCGACTGCGGGTATATTCTCGTGTATCTTGGCCTAACAGCTGCAACTCTATCTGCGCTTCTGACAGAAGCCAAGACCCGTACGTATTCACCGGCTTTTGAGAAGGTTGGCGATGCAAACCACGACGCGTTCAGAGAACAATCTCGTGTCGTGAGGACCTCCGGTGCAATTGGAGATTTTAAAGGCTGCCTTAATTGCAATTACCGCCTGTCTTGGCCAAAGTTGGATCCCCTCTGTATTTTCGTTCATGTGCTCGAAGCCGAGGAGGGGGCGGGGGTAACGAACAGGAAAGTCACCAGGACTACCCGAATCAATTCATTAAGGCTGCACAAGCAAAGGGCAAATACCGGCAATTCTGATTTGTGCGCTGGAACAAGGGACTCAACTCCGCGTTTACGACGAATGTATGGCGACAAAAGATGATAGCAAGGCACGAATTCTAAAAAATTCGGTTGAATTTTGTGTTATTTTTCGCGGTGATCCTATTACGAAATGGAGAGCTACCGCCTAACGAAATAGAGAGCTACCGCCTTCATTGTTATCCATACTACCGGGATATCAAGTGGGAGCCTGATATTATGAACAACGTTCTTCCTCGTCACTATACGTGTCAATATTGTGGTCTTAAGTTGGAGGACTCTAATCCAATGCGGCAGCATCAACAATATTGTGAGAAGAACTCCAACGCCCAGAAGAACCAGCTCACAATACGTGCACCATCAGAACAAACTTCTACCGTAGAAGTTTGTTCTGATGGTGCACGTATCGTAGAATCTACGTGGGTTTGTGACGTGTGTGGAGATGTGCTGCAAATGACAGCTCTTTTCGATCTCACGTGCTCCGAGGGCATTCAAAGAAGCGTAAATCTAAGGAATAAACTTACGAAAATAAAAAAGAACAGCTGAGTTATGATTCAATTTAAATTGGCTTAGCCCCAAATGCGAAAAGGAACATGATGTTCGTGATAGGTAGTTGGGTCTGATATAGGGTTGTGAAGCGAATCCGTTAAGGGAGGAAGTGAAACACACCCGAATCAGGTACTTGGGTGTCACGGGTTGGAACGGAAGGTGGTGCTACAGGGTGATTTAAATCGGTACGCTCGAGGAGACTCGGATCCCGTCTGGAATTGTAGGACTGATTCTGGGTTCGGCGATGAATTCGTCGATGCCTTTGGATCTGGGCTTGAGCTGTAAACATTGGCTCCTGTATCCGAATGGGAGGGGCTTCGCCTCGATCACGCTTTATCCACCAGTGTATATCAAAATCGACTTGAGACACATACGATCTACATAGGGGGCGGGAATACCGAGAAAACGTTATCCACCGCGTTCATCGAGGCCAGTTCTCTATCTGTAAAAGTGACACTTGGAAACGCGACATGTATTTCCTCCAAGAAAGTCCGTTGCGTGTTCATTGCCCAGGTGTAGTCCACTTTCTTTTCCTTTGGAAGCCAGCACTGGGCAACAGGTACTACAGTGTTAAAAGCAGTCAACGCGATAATGTTCTGCAGCGGCAGCTTGTACTAGTTTGTTTTGTAGGTACAATCCACGCCAAGAATTTCAGGATGTCTTCTGTACTGAGTAGTACGTGGGTGATATAATGGGCCCAACTCCAATTACATAAGTAGGTAGATATTTCTTTAGTTATTACGAAAGTAGGTAAAGTGGCACACGGGTAGCGTGTGCCAAGGTGTCATCATCTTATTGGTTAACAGTGAGGAGGCAGACTCGCTTATTGACCAATCAGGTGTAGACATGTGCTTGAGTGGATCACACGAGGTTTCAATTGTATCAGCTGATTTCTGATTGGACTATAAAGGAGATGGGCGTCGGCTCAAGTGACAATCATCGGCGTGTTTACGCTCTGGATTACCATCAATTACGAAATAAAATAATTAAATTATTAATTAGCGTGACTTTTTAAGAAGTCTGGTATTTTTTTTAAATAGCTGTGCTTAAGGTTAATTAGTGATCCAGAGCGGCGAAGGTGCTGTCCACCTCGCACCCCATACAATGTTGATACGTTCATGTACACTAGACACTATCATTTCGACACATAGTACTTGAGCTGTAAACTAAGGCGTGCGTGATTAATGTGTCGCAGTGCCAAAATCAATTGTTCCCTGGTGTCAACTGCAAAATCGCAATCGATAGCACGTGTAGCCTATATTGTGCGATAACAGGAGCAACATATCTAAATAGCACGCCAAACTCAAGTGAACTACAGCCACCGACGTGGGCGCGTGATCTAATGTGGGGCGGAGTAAATCACTGTAATTTACAAAAGTGAAAATATCGGTTTTCGGAGGGACGATTTGCTTGAACACTAACGTTTTATTCCTCGCAAACGTTATTCCTATCGTGGGGTCGCTAAGGCAGGTATACCTTCTAAATGGCACACTTATAAAAAGCCAGCCAGCGTACCTTTAAATTCATTTTTTGCATTTTGCGGCCCTCCCGGGTTCTCCCACACTCTTCAATTGAGATAGTGTTATCGAGATGTCATTAGCAAGCCAATCCGCATTACGCTCACAAATGCTAGCGTAGCAGCTTTTCCAGTATCATGCCACTCACAACAACGACAACTTAGCCGAGTGCGTTCATGCAATCCTTGCGCACAAATTCCTGGACGTATCGAAACAATTGGTCGTTTCGGTGTGTGTGCCGCCGCTTATTGGGTTTTCCTTACTAAGGCACATGAGGGAGGTGGCCTATGTGGCGCTCCTCGCTGATTTCATGTGCATCGTTGGGCTGCTGGTGGTGCTCAACATCGATTTGGGCTACATGGATATAAATCACGACTACATTGAGCCTATAGGCGTGGTGTCTGCCATTCCGTTCTTCTTCGGAGTGGCGAGTTACTGTTTCGAAGGGGTGGGAATGGTGTTGCCGCTGGAGAATTCGATGCGCAACAAGCACAACTTCATGCCGATTCTCGTGTGCACAGTCGTGATCATCACGTCGCTGTACGCCACGTTCGGTATCTGCGGATATCTGGCCTTCGGTATCGACACAGACGCGGTTATCACGCTTAATTTCGAGGGAAGCGGCGGCTTGGTCACGCTCGTTAAGGTTTTCCTGTGTTTGGGACTCTTCTTCACGTACCCCGCGATGCTGTTCCCGGTCTTTGAGGTGCTACAGCCAATGGTGGCGTGTGGTAACAAGCTTGAGAACCCACAAACGACTCAGAAAAAGGGAATTGTTCTCCGCGCTGGAGTTGTGCTGCTCACTGCGGTGATCGCTGCCGGTGTTCCAGGTAAGAAGTCCCTGGTCGGTAACGTTAGTGAATATGGCTCAGTAACTCGTTGATTGCGCTGTAGATTTTGGTCGATTTATTTCGTTCATCGGCTCGACGTGCTGCTCGTTATTGGCTTTTATCCTGCCTGCATTCTTCCACCTGCATCTGTTTAGTGACGAGCCCTCAACGTGTGGAAACCGGTTGCGCCAGGTTTTCCTATGTGGAATGATGCTCCTAGGTTCTGTGATGCTGGGAGCAGGGGTGGTCGAAGCAATCATCAGTGTACTCTAAGCTAAGACTTGAAAAACTGCAATAATTAATGTCAAAGTGCCGTTCAGACCCAGCTTAAAGTTTTGACAATCGCTGCCGCAGCGTAACAGCCTAAACATCCCAACACGGGTTGAACAACCCACACACGCTTCCAGCACCAACGGTGTTTCCTCCACGATGGAGTTTACAGCATTGCTCACCTCTGAATCGACAACCGTTTCGTCAGGGGGTGAATCTAGTTAGTGTGAAGTCCCAATTGGTTCTTCAGCTCTTCCGAATACCAGTACTCTGGAACCGGATCACGAGACAGTTGCAAATTCCGTGCCAGTAATCGTGAGGGACACTGTAGAGATTGAACCGCCTCCAGAGCAAACATACCCGACCGAGAAGGCCGCTTTAGCTGCGTTGCATCCATGGACTAAAGATCACGGATTCAATGTATTCAAGAGACAAGGTTTCTACAACGACGCGGTACCGGAGCAAGTTTGGAAAGGAAGACTTGACTGTGATAGCGCAGGAAACCCAAGGTGTACCCAACACCTCACTGATGATTAACGACAACACGTTCAATGCGTATAGGGTGTCCCATGAAAATAGTAGTCGCAGCAGCAGACAAAGACAATTCTTGGGGCTCTTGGAAAATTGTTCACGCTAGAAATGGAAGCCGAATTCACAGCCACCCCACCTCTGATGATCATCGCGTCCATCCAAGTCACCTTCTGCGTGCAGTTGCATCTGAGGAGATCGCTCCAATGGCATCTCTGCAAGCTCTAGTCAGTGTCATGTATGGTGTGGGGATCACCGCTGTATATGTGTGTGCCAGTTTGCAACAGGCTGACCCTGCCTGTAGTGTAATTTCACAAGATGTAGTGAACATGAGAAACGCAGCTCGTCGTCGTGAGATCGCAACGCAAACCGTGATGGAAGCTTTATTCAAAGAATGGAATAAGATAAATTATACTATCAAAATGAAGCGGATCTACAGACCAGCATTTGCATTACTTGTTTTGGGTTCACCTGTAGCAGGGTTATAGTTACAGTCACTAGCTTACACTATAGTGTGGAGGAAGATCGCAATAATATAACCAAGTCTTAGGTTTGTGTCAAATTCAACTCTGTTTTATTTACGACCAGGGCGCAACCCCTGGATGGAGAGGCGGTCCCTGTGACGGGCCCTAACCTCAACAGCCTCCCTGGATCGACATCAGGGAACGTCATTGGATAATATAATACACGTGTTTTGATTGGTCTACGAAAACCCTGCTAAACGTGTTCAGTCAATTTACAAAATGGCTACACGAATTTGTGTTTTTTGCGTTTCTGAAGCTCCTAGAGGCCCTACAGCCAAACGGAGACTACTCGCCAGGGCAGTTTTCTGGGGAGGTGGAGTCCAAATCGCCATTTGGCCACCTGTGCACCAGGTGGCAGACTGAAAAATGACTCGAAAGTTCAAAACGAATTAGTTTTGACAGTGATAGGTTTTGAGAGTACACTTGTATTGAAGTTAATAGCAGTTACAACAAGTGGCCATCTTATCGGAGCGTGTATGTTAACTTAGAGAAGCTCAATGCCAACAGAATCGGCCCACATGACAGACAGCCTTAAATTTAGTAGAGACGACAAACGCAGATGATGCTGGGACGGCATAAGGTCTTATTCTATGGTCCGGCGCGCGGTATAGGATCAATCAGCAGCTCGGGGGCTCATCGAGCTGATCTCGTAGTCTCACATCACAGTTTACATTCTACTGTCACCGCACCAGCCACACGCACGTCAAGGACACGCACGTCAAGGTCACGACATCTACAAACTTCGGTGCTTCACAGCCAGCTTTGGGTATTGCAACGCTTCATTCTCGCTCAGTCAGCGTAATTCAGGATACTTGTGGAGACCAGGCAGATTGGCTCGAGGCTCAGTTATTTAACGCCAGCTTTGAGGATCATGCCTCGGTCGGCGCAGGTGGCCCGGATGGACCCTACTATCGCCAAGCATCTCATTACAATGGCTGCCCCAAAGCAGTTACCTCCGACTACGAATTCTCTATCGGTTATTGACACGGCTACGGCTAATTCTTCGAGCACGATTTCAACTCAAGATCAACCCACTTCAACTACATCTACATGCACTGAGCCAACGACTTCGACATCAACAGTACCGAAGATTCGCCGCAGTACTCGATCCCGGCAACCTCCGGCCGCCTTTAGCCCGTCGTTCATACGAGGGTCCAAACCCAAAAGGCGACGTCGACGCAAGGAGCGTCCGTGCGTGCCCCAGACTTGGGGTGTAGCATTCCTAAAGGACCGAAAAACGAGTACAACTGGTGGCTTACTCTACAGGGTTTTGTGGAGGACCCACAAGTATGACCGGCTACCACGCACATGGGAGCCACGTGCCATGCTAGTTGAGGACGGATTTGAAACCGCTATAAAGGTTGTGGACGAGTGGGTTGATGGAGGTCGGCAAACCGACTTCTTTCAGTTCGTCAGCAACTTGTAACCATCGGTTGCTGGTGCCAACCCGATGGGTACATGCATGTTTCTCGCACTGCAACACGCATTGCTGCTAGTGGGTGAGCCGTTTGGTGTTCGGAACTCCCATGCTCAGGAGTTCCTTGCGAGAGCAACAGAATTAAAGCAAAATCTGTCTCGTGGAGTGCCGTGGACAATTTTTCGAGCTTTTATTTTACAGTTACATGTAGGTGGTTCTCGGCTATCATTGGAGGATATTGAGTACAACAGGCACCGTACTGGACACCGAGGTGTCGCTGCCATAGTACGGTTGCCATTTCAAGATGGTATTTACTTGGTTGCTGCCTGTAATACTATGGCGGTTGGACATGCATTTGTCCTCCAGGTCCGTGGAGCCCAGAGGACAGTTTTTGACGATTCGTCTCAGTGCCCTTTGGAGGACTATGGTGAGTGGATCGACAGAGTGATGTTCGTTCGTAAAGTTTCACTTTTAGATTAAGATCAAAATATAATTTTTTGATTTGTTTACCTTCACTTTTGTTCTATTATAAAGTTAAATGTACATGTATATTTGGCGGCTGTGTGCCAGGGAAAAACACTTTCAGTGTAAAAACCTTATCGAAAAGTAACACGAGAAAACCTTTGCATGTAAAAGTTCTTAAAGGGAAAAAACTCATGTTACCACGTGACTCTTTAAAAGTTGTGAGGTAATATAAAAATGGTTAATTTATCGTGTATTTTAAAGTATGTTTAGCTGTTAAGTTTAGCGAGAGAGCGCATACCTAACTTGTTTCTTAAGTCTCTAAATTGGTGCTTATCAAGGGCTTTAGTAAAAATGTCTGCTACCATCACTTTGGTGTTGCAATACTCAATACAAAATTCGCATCTCTCAACCTTTTCCTGTACAAAGTGATATCGAATATCAATGTGTTTTGATCGTCCGTGTAGCTC